CTTTCTCTTCTCTCTCTTCTCTCTTTCTCTCTTTTTTTCTTTTCTTTTTCTTTTTACTTTTCTTTTTCTTTTCTTCTCTTTTTCTTTCTCTTTTTCTTTCTCTTTTTCTTTCACTTTTTCTTTCTCTTTTCTTTCTCTTTTTCTTTCTCTTTTTCTTTCTCTTATTCTTTTTTTCTTTTTTTCTTTCTCTTTCTCTTTTTCTTTCTCTTTTTCTTTTATTTTTCTTTCTTTTTTCTTTCTCTTTTTCTTTCTCTTTTTCTTTCTTTTATCTTTCTTTTTTCCTTTCTTTCTTTCTCTTTTTCTTCTTTCTCTTTTTCTTTCTCTTTTTCTTTTCCTTTTTCTTTCTCTTTTTCTTTCTATATTTCTTTCTCTTTTTTCTTTCTCTTTTTCTTTTCTTTTTCTTTCTCTTTTTCTTTCTCTTTTTCTTTCTCTTTTTCTTCTCTTTTTCTTTCTCTTTTTCTTTTCTTTTTCTTTTCTTTTTCTTTCTCTTTTTCTTTTCTTTTTCTTTCTCTTTTTTCTTTCTCTTTTTCTTTCTCTTTTTCTTTCTCTTTTTTTCTTTCTCTTTTTCTTTCCTTTTTCTTTCTCTTTTTCTTTCTCTTTTTCTTTCTCCTTTTTCTTTCTCTTTTTCTTTCTCTTTTTCTTTCTCTTTTTCTCTCTCTTTTTCTCTCTCTTTTTCTCTCTCATTTGCTCTCTCTTTTTCTCTCTCTTTTTCTCTCTCTTTTTCTCTCTCTTTTTCTCTCTTTTTCTCTCTCTTTTTTCTCTTCATTTTCTCTCTTCTTTTTCTCTCTCTTTTTCTCTTTTTTCTCTCTTTCTTCTCTCGCTTTATCTCTCTTGTTTCTCTTTTTCTCTCTTTTTCTCTTTCTCTTTTTCTCTCTTTTTTCTTTTTCTATCTTTTTATGTTTTCTCTCTCTTTTTCTCTTTTTCTTCTTTTTCTCTTTTCTCTCTCTTTTTCTCTCTCTTTTCTCTTCTTTTCTCTTTTTTCTCTTTTTTTCTCTCTATTTCTCTTTTTTCTCTCTCTTTTTCTCTCTTTTTCTCTCTCTTTTTCTCTTTCTCTTTCTTTCTCTTCCGTTTTCTCTTTTCTTTTTTTTTCTCTTTCTCTTTTTCTTTCTTCTTTCTCTTTCTCTCTTTCTCTTTCTCTCTTTTCTCCTCTTTTTCTCTTTCTTCTCTTTCTCTCTTTCTCTTTTTCTCTTTTTCTCTTTTTCTCTTTCTCTTTTTCTTTCTCTTTCTTTCTCTCTTTCTCTCTCTTTCTCTTTCTCTTTTTTTTCCTTCCTTCTCGTGCTGAAAGACTAGTGTGTGGGATGGTAATAATCCCCAAAACAGCAGTTTCATCTGCCTTGTAGAGTTTAGATAGGAGTCCTTCACTCTCCATCAGATCATTTAGTAATTGTCTGAAGCGCTTAATTTCTTTGGCGAGTATACTGCAAGCCTTGCAATAGGTTTTTTCTGTTAAATCAAGCTGTAGCATTGACAGAAACACTGAAGCCAACCATTACTTGTCCCAAATTCTATGCTCGTATGGCTAGGACTTGCTAGCCACTTAGCAAAAAAGTTAATACCAGTAGAGAGCTGTTGTTATAAACTTGAGCAATTCTGCTTTAGTTCTTGTATCTTGGGCCATTTTTATATGCTTCCTAGGAATGACTGAAGCACCTTTTAGGACAGGATCTACACTGCTTAAAATAGTGTAGTTTTTCCTTGTTCCTTGAATGGGTCATACACTTCTACAACACCATACTCTTCACACACAGCCACTGAAGTGCCACCTTTAAAAATTAAAGATGTTTCTTGACACCACCACTTGCTTTAGAGGCCATTATTAATAACACTGTACATGGTAATTTAATAGAATTTTTAAAAACTGTAAATCCAGGGGTAAATCTGAGGTGAAATTACAATGTGTGCGTGCAGAAAATAATAAATTAATGCACACTGTGTCAGTGGCCCCCCCGCTGCCCAGGAACAAAAATGGACGTGTCCAGGATGGAACTCAGACCGTACAAACATGCGGTTGAGAGGAGTCGATCCATTTTGATCAAATGTACGACCAGATAGTATTGCCATTCGATTTAGCAGATTTGGTCTACTTTGTGGCTATTTTAATTGGACATTACATTAATTGTACACTCTGAGCCTTTGGCCAGATTTTTTTTTGTCCGTTTTGACAGGTATCCATTTATGGGGATCAGCTTTATTTGACATATACTGTACTGTAATACTTATCAGTGGGCTGTACAAATCTTTTTGCCCCTCTACTATATTTCCAGATGTGCTCTTAACAAAAATGCTGAATTTTCTACATAACCACGGGTTTAAGTTTATATCCTGTTCAGTCATTGATTTATGCTAATCAATAATTCTGGTTGTGGTGGGTGTTAATATACTAAAAATTTAATTTTCAATAGAGTTAATTTTTCTCTTTATTTGATGTGTGAAAGTATTTCATGTATTTTGTTTTATTGGCTACAGCAAGGTGAAATGAAATAAAAATTTTCTCTTACAGCTCCAGGTGGAGGAATCTCTGAGGATGGGATCGACAGTGGTCCAGTCCGCACAAACATGTGCGTGTTTGGGGCACCAGATGACTCTTACGAGACATTACGTGGTTATGCAGTGGTGTTCACCAGGCTGATGAGGCGCTACAAATATCTGGAAAAGATGTTCTATGAAGAGATGAAAAAGGCTAGTATGAAAGTTACTTTAGCTAATAATAAATGCTGTTCACTACTTGTGGGAAAAGTTTGCTGTAGGGACAAAAGACAAATCATCACAAGCTTTAAAATAAAACAGTTATCTCCTAATTGATGATTTTCTCGAGAGGTTTGCCTCGCTTCATTTGGGGTTTTATAAGTGATTGTAATAAAGATCCTGAGAACCCCTCGAAGATATTGCTAATAACTTGTGTTTAACTAGGTTGCTGACAGCTAAGCTGTTTGTACCGGCTGCTTGCAGTCGACATTGGCTCAACTGTCTGGCAGTTAGGGAGTAAGAGATGACAAATGTGTTTTCTTATTTTATGTAACCCTGTCCTGGTGGAGAAGCAGCCATGTGTGTAAAAAGGAAAAACTGTCATTTAATGTTGTCGTTCCATCATTACAATTGGCAAATTTGGTTTATATTCATATTTGCACAGTCCTCCATTGTGCTTAGAAAAAAGTTCTCTATTGTATTTGGATGAATGCCAAAATTTTGCACAATTGGTAATGTAAATATACAGGCAGATTGCTTAGGCTGGTCTCATGACTCAAACTTTTAAGCAACTGCTTGTGGGCTGTGTTAACAAACTGCTGAGACTTGTTCGCTTGCTCCAGACTATTTAGGTGTGGAGGTTTTAACTAGTATTGCAACCTGAATAGTTATCTTAGCATGAGGCCCATTTGCTAGTGAATTTCATATATTTTTAGTATTATGATTATGGTCTCTGGGGGGGGGGGCTGCATTGTTCCTGTTTGGTGTGTGGCTAGACCACCTAACTAGCTGACCAGGACTTGTAAAGTTCCTTTTTTGATTTTGTTGTATTGTACATTTCATATACATTATTTAGTCTTGTCATAATTTAAATTATTTTATACTTAGTGCCCCCTTCAAGGGGGTACCTTGATGCTGGTGAGGGGCACTTCATCTGAGGAATTGGAGCTCTCTCTTTTCCTTAGATTAGTCAAGCCTGATTGCCTCCCATTACCCAGGCGATGTACGGCCCTTACAGGTTTACGCTTCCCCACAAATACAATAATTAGTGCACCCTCATTTCTCATTATTGTTTTTGTGAATTTAATGATGTATTCGGCTCTCTAGGAATTATTAGTGTTTTTGTTTAGAAAATAGTATTGTTTGGCATTTTTTTTTTTATGAACTGACATTTAATTTGAGTAGTTTATTGACTTCCTTATTAAGGTAGCTCATTGTTCTGAGTTTGTGAAAATTGAGAGAAATACTAGTACTATTACAGTACAGTGGTACCTTGACTTACGAGTGCCCCAACTTGCAAATTTTCTGAGTTACAAGCTGTTGCTCTGCTGATTTTTTGCTTTGAATTGAATTGCGAGAAAATTGCTTTTGTTTCAGTGTTTTCCTAATGAAACTAGTGATCTAGTACAGTCAGCCTCACAAATACTGTTTTCTCTTATAATAAAACCTCAGAAGGGCAAGAATGGGAAGATATGGTCAGTGATAATTATTTTTACCTCCGGAATGGCCACCACCACTCGTCACATAATGATAGATTTTCTTTCAACACACCGGCCGTATCCCACCAAGGCAGGGTGGCCCAAAAAGAAAAACAAAAGTTTCTCTTTTAAATTTAGTAATTTATACGGGAGAAGGGGTTACTAGCCCCTTGCTCCGGGCATTTTAGTCGCCTCTTACAACACGCATGGCTTACGGAGGAAGAATTCTGTTCCACTTCCCCATGGAGATAAGAGGAAATAAACAAGAACAAGAACTAGAAAGGAAATAGAAGAATACCCAGAGGGGTGTGTATATATATGCTTGAACATGTATGTGTAGTGTGACCTAAGTGTAAGTAGAAGTAGCAAGACATGCCTGAAATCTTGCATGTTTATGAGACAGACAAAAGACACCAGCAATCCTACCATCATGTAAAACAATTACAGGCTTTCGTTGTACACTCACTTGGCAGGACGGTAGTACCTCCCTGGGCGGTTGCTGTTTACCAACCTACAACCTACTACTAGATTTTATTCATTCTAAAGTATATATCATGTTTGTTATTTATATTGTTTAATATGTCATATTAGATCAATTGTGATAGATAAATAAGCTGTAGGGTTGATGTTAGTGTTGAAGTATTTTCTCCTACCTCCTGAGAGCCAGGAATTCCTCTGGAACAGATTAATGGCATTTCAGTTAATTTGTGAGGAAAATTGATTTGATATACAAGGAATTTGTGTTAGGGGCTGGGTCATGAAACGAATTAAACACTCGAGTCAAGGTACTACTGTACTAGTGTTATTGGGGACTTGTGTACAACAGTATTCTAGCATAGAGTAAAGGCGATTGATAAACAACTTTTTTTGTATCTGTATATATTGCTTTTTCCTATTTCCCAGTCATCATTGCAATAATGTGCTTTTTTAAAAGTCAGAACATAAATGATTGCACATATTATATATTGTACTTAACAGGTAGGTACAGTACAGTATATTGTAACCATCTTTGAAATAGTTTATTGCATTTTTAATTTCTTTGTATTACATAGTAAAGTTGAATCTGTCTTGAGCCTGTGGTCACATTTAAATTATGTAAATGTCTAATTGCTTATCTTTATGGTTGTTCTAATATTCATAAATATTTGATAAAAAGAAAAACAGTACTAATAATGATTGTGCAGGTCCTCGTTTACCTGAAGGGGTTCGGAGAAGGTGACCGCATCCGCTTGGCACGCTGTGTTGCTATTTGGACTAGCGACTCCCTGCTTGATCCTAAGGTGCTAGCTACTTTGTTACAGGATCACCTGGTAAAGGATGGCCTTGCTGCAGATTTTATTTGTGAGGTTAGTTTTCATATTTAACATTGAAGCCTAATCCCTCACCCCTTGTTTCTGTCTTATATTAAATAAACATAATATAGTTGTAATACAGTAATTATATGTTTTGCAGTTATAGCTGTGGAGAAAATCCTTAAAATGTTACTTAGATTAGGAACTACTGGAATTCATCTTGGGCACAATACAGTTCTGAACTGAAGTGCAGAAACCCTGGGGTATGAGACTTGAGACAGAAACTTGAGAATCAAGCAGGAATAACTGGGAACATACTCTGGTGGATCAAGGAGTAACTTAGGAAAAGGACGGAAAGGGTGATTATCTGGAAAGAGAATCATAATGGGAGTGAGAAGCAGTGTACCACAAGGATTGGTGCTAGGACAAGTGTCCTTTCTGATTTAAGTGAAAGATGCCAGTTGGAATTAAGTCAGATGTATATCTGAAGATTGAGACACTTATGCAGCATATGGGTATCTTTATTCAGGAAACGTTTCGCCACACAGTGGCTTCATCAGTCCAATACAAAGAGGAAGGCGTAAGGAGAGGAGGAGTATGAGGTAATCAGTCCCTCAGCCTGGAGTCGATGTGTTCAGTCCATCAATACATCACAGCCTGGAGTCGATGTGTTCAGTCCATCAATACATCACAGATGTATATCTGTTGGCTGACGATGTAAAATTAATTAAATACAAACGGATGAAACTGGAGAAAGACTGAAAATAGATCTGGAGAAACTGTAGGGTTGGTCAGATTAGTGGTTGCTTAAATTCAGCCCTAGCAAATGCAAGATTATGAAGATTGGGGAAGGGATCAAAAGACTGGACAGAGTATAGACTCGGGACAAAGGCTGTAGACCCTGTTGAAAAGAGGATCTGAGAGTAAGCAGTGTCTACCATATTGCTAGAGGCTAACATGAGCTGATTAACCTCTGCAACCAGTGCTTGCCTGGCAGCTTTGTGAGTGGCCTTCAAGAATCTTGACAGTCAGTCTGAATGTTTTATAAAATATGTCAAGCCCACCTTGAGTATGCAGCACCACCACAATGGAACTCACCTAGGGAAGCATTAAGAAATTGGAGGAAGTGTAGAAGTAGGCAACAAGATTAGTTCCAATGCTAAGGGGTATGGGCTGTGAAGAGGCTCAAGGAAGTGAATCTAACGACCTTGGATGACAGAAGGACCAACATAAGAAATACTCAGGAATTGATTGGGCAGATGGGGACAGGCTGTTTGAGCCAAGAAATGGGTACTTTGGGGGTAAAGTGGTAGACATGCATAAGTGAATGATGTCAAGTATTTCTTCAGTCTTAGGGTGGTTGGGAAGTGGAATGATCTAGACAAAGAAGTGGTGATGGAGGCAAATTCTGTACATAGTTTTAGGAACAGGTATGATAGGGCCCGGGAGGCTAGGAGAGGGAGAATCTGGTAAGTGGCAGGTTGAGAGATGGAGCCAGGAGCTGAGACTCGGTCCCTGCAACCACATATAGGCAAGTACATATAGGTGAGCACAAGCCTGTTGGATGTCCAAGCTTCACACAAACTTCCTTAATAACCCCCTCTCTCTAACCTTTCCCAGGATAACACCTATCCTCCTCAGCTTTTTGAATAATACTTTTGGTAGCCCCATTCAAAGACAAGCTATGAATTCTTTGCATAATCACACCATACATTACCCTCAGAGATATCACTGCCTCTAGCCTCCTTGCCATTATTCTCGGGTACATTTCTCTTTTCTACGGTGTTGGTGTAAATATTATGCTGAGAATTCGGAGTGTGGAAATTAGAAGGTGTGGAGTTACTAAAAGTATTAGTCAAGAGGGCTGAAGAGGGGTTGTTGAGGTGGTTTGGTCATTTAGAGAGAATGGATCAAAGTAGAATGACTTGGAGAGCATATAAATCTGTAGGGGAAGGAAGGCTGGGTAGGGGTCGTCCTCGAAAAGTTTGGAGGGAGGGGGTAAAGGTTTTGTGGGCGAGGGGCTTGGACTTCCAGCAAGCGTGTGTGAGAGTGTTGGGAGTGAATGGAGACGAATGGTTTTAGGGACATGACGAGCTATTGGAGTGTGAGCAGGGTAATATTTAGTGATGGGATTCAGGGAAACTGGTTATTTTTAATTAGCCAAACTTGAGTACTGGAAATAGGAAGTACAATGCCTGCACTTTAAAGGAGGGGTTTAGGATATTGGCAGTTTGGAGGGATATGTTATACATCTTTATACAGTGAACCCCCGCCATTTGGTGGCCCCGACTTTCGTGAAATCCGACTTTCGGCAAGTTTTTTCGGCAAAATTTAGCTTTGTGGTTGGTGATTGGACTCGATTCAGCGACCACATGTCAGTGAGCACACAAAGCCAGCCTCCAGCACGATTCACACTCAGTGTGCCATTGTTTACCAGCGCGTGACCATCACCCCACGGGTTCATACAATGCATTTCGTAATAATCCATTGTTTTTTGTGCTTGCTAAATAAGTCACCATGGGCCAAAGGAAAGCTAGTGCCAGCTCTGGTAAAGCAAGTGAGGAACACGATCAGATTCAAGAAAGAAATCATTGAAAAATGAGTGGAGTGCGTGTTAGAGTTTGCCAGGATGTATGGCAAACCCCATTCAACCGTAACTTTGATTGTGGTGAAGTGAAAGGAAATAGTGTGCTGTTGTTGCAAAAGGGGTAGATATGCTGACAAAAAAGAGATCACAAACCCTTGAAGTGGAAAAGTTGTTTTTGGTGTGGATTACCCAAGAACAGTCAGCAAGAGATAGTACTATGCAGTCGATAGTATGTCAAAAGGCAAGGCAGTTGCATGACGATCTCGTAAAGAAAATGCCTGCAACGAGTGGTGATGCTTGTGATTTTAAGGCCAGCCAAGGTTGATTTGAGAGATTTAAGAAGCATAGTGGCATACAGTGTGGTAAGGCATGGTGAGGCTGCCAATTCTGACAAAAGCAGCCGAGAAGTTTGTACAGGAGTTTTAGGGGTACGTAGACACTGAAGAATTCCAACCCCAACCCCAACAAGTGTTCATTTGTGACGAAACGGGCCTCTTTTGGAAGAAAATGCCAAAGAGGACCTACATCACGCAGGAGGAAACGGCACTCCCAGGGCACAAGCTTATGAAAGACAGGCTAACTCATATTTTGTAGTAATGCTAGTGTTGATTGCAAAGTGAAGCCTTTACTGGTGTATCACTCTGAAAATCCCAGTGTGTTCAAGAAAGTGTTGCCAAGAGTAATTTGTGTGATGTGGAAGGCTAACAGTATGGCATGGGTCACAAGGGAAATTTTCCTTGATTGGTTTAATAAAGTGTTTGGCCCCAGTGTGAAGAAATACCTCCTGGAAAATAAATTGCCACTCAAGTGCCTCCTGATAATGGACAATGCTCCTGCTCATCCTCCAGACTTGGAAGAGCAAATGGTGGAGGAGTTTCATCACGGTGAAGTTCTTGCCCCTATTACAACTCCTCTCCTCCAGCTCATGGACCAGCAGCTCATTTCAACTTCAAAAAACTGTACACCGAAGCAGTGTTTCAAAAGTGCTTTGAAGTGACCTCAGACACTGAATTGACCCTAAGAGAGTTCTGGAAAGATCACTTCAGTATCCTCACTTGCATAAACCTTAAAGGTAATGCTTGGGAGGGAGTGACTTGCAGAACTTTGAATTCTGCTTGGAGAAAATTGTGGCCACAATGTGTACAAGAGAGGGATTTTGAAGGGTTTGGGGCTGACCCTGAGGAGCCTATGCCAGTTGTGGAAAGTATTGTCACTGGGGAATTCCATGGGGTTGGATGCGAGTTTCAAGTATGTGGAAGAGTTGGTGGAGGACCACGATGAAGAGCTAACCACTGCAGAGCTGCAAGAGCTTCATCTGCAACAACAGCAAGAGACCACAGCTCAGGAAATTGCTGCAGAGGAGGAGGAAGAGAGATGGAGGAAGGTTCCTTCTTCAAAGATTAAGGACATTTGTGCAAAGTGGACTGAAGTGCAATTATATATGGATGAACTTCACCCTGACAAAGCTGTTGCAGGCCATGTTGGCAACATGTACAATGAGTGCTATGTCCCACTTCAGACAATTCCTAAAGAAACACCAGAAACAGAGCTCTCCGGGCAGATATTTTGTGCAACGGGTCCAGTGACTCAAGTTGTTCCCAGTGTCATTAAAAACCAAAGAAGGGAAGTAACCCCTCTCTTTCTTTCTTTTTCTTTCTCTTTCTTTCTCTTTTTCTTCATCTTTCTTTTTCTTTCTCTTTTTTTCTTTTCTTTTTCTCTCCTCTTTTTTTCTCTTTTTCTCTTTTTTTTTCTCTTTTTCTCTTTTTTTCCTTTTTATCTTTTTTCTTTTTTTCTCTTTTTTTTCTCTTTTTTCTATTCTATTTTTTCTATTTTCTATTTTTTTTTCTTCTCCTCTTTCTTTTTTTTCTTTTTTTCTTTCTCTTTTTTCTTTTTTTTTCTTTTTTCTCTTTTTTCTCTATCTTTTTTCTTTTCTTTCTCTCTTTTCCTTTCTTTTTCTT